AAAAAAAAAAACTCGAAAATGGCACTGCTCATATCGATAGGTATGAATTTTTCGATAATTATAATTTTGCATATTTTGTGGGGAATTGGCTCAAATAATGGTGCATTGACAACTATATATCTACAGTTAGTCTGCTATTTCTCTAGATGAAATTTTAATTTATATGTTTAAAATAATTAGGTAGATTGCCTACAAATTGCATTTTTCTTCAGGTCAAAGAAGTTAAAAAATTTAAGTACCAAGGTTTTAAATAGCGGGCTAAAATGTTTACGACACTGTAGCTATAGCGGAGCTATAGCGGATATTTAGCGGGATTTAGCGGCTAAATTGAACATGAATACAAATAGCGGCATGCTGCCAAAAAAAATTATTTCTCAAATAGCGGCAACTTTAGCGAGCTATTTATTTCTTTGTTAAGTACTATTAAATGTTATGTGATTACTCAAGACAATCTTCTGCAAATGGATAATTTAAATGCACTTATTTGACTACAAAACAAAACTAACAGAGCATTCAAATCTTAAATAAAATTCTTATTAAACCAACATCAGTCCTTTCTACAATATTGATCCACTAGCCTTTTTAAATCAAAATCATAAAATTACACATTACATCATAAAATCACGTGGATTTTATCACAAACATTAATTATTATTTTTTTTAAAAAAAAAACATCAACACAAACATGAAAAATTCAATAGAATAAGAACTACAGAAAGCAAAATACAACACTAGTTATTGTCATTAGAATATTTTTCCCACAAATGTGCAACCAATGCATTACGAAGTTCATAGTGGGCCTTATCCTTGATTCTTTTGAATGAATATTATGGTGACAATTGAGTCTATTCGTCTATTTTATAAACATTTTTAGCTTTCATGTTCCATATTAATTATCGTTGTTGTAATAAGTGTGAGCTTTAAGGATGGGTTTTTTTTTTTTTAGTTTATTTATGTTGGAATTTTAATTTTGGTTTTTGAACCGTTAATTTTAAGTGAGTTGAATGTTTATCTTTATTTTGTAATTTTAAATTGTTTGTTTGAAATATTTATTTCAGTGAATTTAAATAATATTCAATATTCTATCATATTAATTAATAAAGTATTCAATTTTTCATTACACTACTTAAAATTATATCATATTAGGTACAATAAGTTTAAAACGTTTATTAAATATTTAATTCAACCCATAAAACTAATTAATT